AATTGCAGCTTTCTGGGTCGTATTATAAATTTTACTAATTTGAAGGTAGTTTTTTGCAAATAACTTTTAAATGACTATTCCAAATGAAACGAAATTCTAGACAAAGGTAAAACTTTAATGCCTCTTCATAAAACTCTAATACAACTTTTGCATAAAATTATCTGTGGAGATTATATAAGGATACACCACACGGTATAGTAATATTAGTAATGTACTATTATTACCTGAAAATTGTATGACTACCAGTACAAATATATTTTACTAGTAAAATTCCGTTGACAAGCTGGTTTTCGTTTAGATTCAACGTAGTGACAAGAATTTTTACCAACGAAGTTACAGGGGAGTTAAAAGTGCCGTGAGAATGCTTTGAGAAAAGGACCATACGACTGCTCGAATTATATGGATATTCGATAGATTTTGAAAAACGCATCTATTAGTTTAGATTTCAAAAAACTAAAAGTTCAACTGAAGTAGAAACTTAAATAGTTTTGTAATTGTATTGGAACTAAATATTTAAGTAATTGAACCACACATTTTTAATCACTTGTTGAGAGAAACAATTTTTAGAGGTTTTAAAAAGAGTTTAACAGTCGATTAGGCAAGAAACCTGACAACACGCTTTTATATCAAAAACGTGAATAGTACCTTTGAATAAGAAGTCTAAGGAAGGAGCATATCAAAAATCTTAGGTACACCGCGATGGGCCTCAAATATGGCCGGCCTTAAATTCCGGTTTATCAGTGTCGTTCTAATTTTATTTAAAAAATGTAAAACTATGATGTAGGGTAGACGTGAGGTAGACTCAATAATTTGTTGTTTTATTTTACGTTGTAAATAAATGTTGGTAGTTATTAAAATTGTTATAAAAATATATAATTCTAATAAAAATAGATAAGTTATAATAAGTATTTATTAACACAAACATCCCATACGCTACTGAAGCAGGTAAGTCAAATTAACGTATCTGAATTCTTTGACATCTAATCTTTGACAAGTAATAAATAAAAGCTAAAATGCAAGAAAAATATATAATTTAGTTAATTTAAGTGAATTTCATAAATGATCGGTTTACTACACGTATGTATATTATATAGTCACTTACTAGCGAAAAGTTGTTCCATTATTTCACTCAATTTTTGCCGAGATCTACCGCACGCTACACAACCAACTATTTTAGAGTCTTTTTCGATAAATCGCGATAGTGTCACTGTTAATTTAAGTTCTGCCACAATTTCCATCTAGATTTACTACCTTTAAACAAATATCAGTAGTAGAATAAATAATAAATAACATAAAATAAGCTCCGTAAAGACTGAAAAATCCACAAAATTTCAAATCAATTCAAATATGTCAAATGAATCGTCAAACAGAACTGTCAAGGATTCCCACCCTAGAGTGCTTTTTCCGCCCACCATGCATGAATACATGGATAGCATTATGCTCCTTCCTTAGTCTTGTTATTCAAAGGAATAGTACGCACTAAAAACAAAGACGCCATAATCTAAAAAATAATGCTTAACTTAAAATATTTTAATTTTGGGGTCAACATTTACTGAGAAGTTTTTACTTCAGTGGAGGTATTTACTACAGGTTTGGAGAACAAAACATCACAAAAATAAACGTTACAAACTTATTGTATCTTTTTGTATTATAACGCGAAACGTTCTACCCCAAAGTACTTTTTAATCACACTATCGATATTTTATGGGCCATTATTTTTTTGGTTTAGTAATGTCTAAAAAGTTTGACCTCAGTGTTAAGATTGTTCTTGAGCATAAATTATACCAAGGCGAAATAATTTATAAAGTAATATCAATATTTGGATAAAAGTTGGTGTCTGGGAGTTTTTTGATATGAGAAATTTAATTTTGATATCAATATGACCTACTTGTAGATGGCGCCACCTACAAATCTTTTAACTGGTTTGAAGACTAATAACTTTTTGTCCGTACCTAAAAAACTTAAGAAGTTATAGATAAACAGGTAGTTCTAAAAAGTTTTCTAAAATATACAGAAAAATTCAAAAGAAAATGCACAATGGAAAAAAACTCATAGACGTGGTCCTGGGGTCGAAATATACCACCCTAATAATATTTGCACGTATTTAAGACTCACACTGTACAATAATAATGCTATTCTTTGTAACAAACTTTAAAACTAAATTCAAATGAATTTAGTTCTAGAGTTTGAATGAAATCAAAGTGTTGATTAAAACGTCAAATAAAAATGTCAAAAATCAGGGGGAGGGGCAGAGGTTGTAATGTCGAATCCGCTATAATATAGTATTTTGCATAAAACGTCTGTAATTGGTATGTATGAAAATGAAGAGTAGGCTTAATTCTGTGTAATTGGCTGATTCTGCTGAAATTTAGTTTATATCATTTTGGAAAATCCAATGTAAATACGTAAAATTGAGTAATAAAGTAAATATCTAATTAATTTTAATTTATTACTTGACTCAGATCTATTTTTCACTGGGTTAATGCTATATGTTTACCACAACTTTATCTTGACGTATGCCAATCAAATTTTTATTAAATCGTATAATCACAATAATGCTTATTACATAATTACTCAGTGAGATACGAATCGATATTGTTAGATAATATTTTGAAGCTTGTGGCTGCAGTTGGTTGCAGTTAACAACAACGTGGGGGTAAAACATTGAATACGGAAAATCAAATGCAATAAAATAATAAAAAATATTATAAAATAAATAATATAAATATAATATATTATAATATAAACAATCAAATCGCTTCAAAAAGTGAAATCAATACATTTCAACATTTACAATAAAGAGTACAAAATACATTCGGAAGTATAAGAACATCTGTTCAAAGAGCTATAAATAAGATTGAACGAAAAATAAATTTGTGCATTAGGGAGGGTGCCCTTTGCATGAGGAGGCCTTTTGAACATGTAGAGCATTAGAAACTAGTTTGTAGAAGTTGATTTATTTATAATAACTACGATTAATATTATGCATATTATTAGATCCTACACTGAGATTTTAAGTTCACGATTCACAATAAAAAAGTTAAAAATAATATCTTTAAATTGCTGACCTGGATATTATTTATTTGAATCTGTCAATTGGCTGGATTTTCCTTATTCAATATTAAATAGCGCTGATACATATTGTTGCCATGAATATAATCAGATGAAATAATTTAAAAAACCAGAGTCGGACTTATTATTTTAAATAAGAATTAAATAGTTTTGTTATTGTTAAGGTACCCAAAAACAAAATAAAGTATGAAGTGTGGCATATCGTTTTACTCAGGAGACCGAGTTCTTTCAAATCCTAAAATTAAAAATGCAGGTCCGTATTTAAAAAAATTAAGTTGGCCTCTGTATCTCACAAATTATCAGCTAATTTAAAAATCTAAAAACATTATCAGATAGCCCTAATAAAGTCGCTATGAGAATGTGTAATTAGTGTTTTTAATTTCTAAAAAGTAACGACAGGAAAAAATAAAATTGATTTTCAAAAAAATCCGTTTTTTCCAAAAAACTCAGCAATCCTTGAAATTTTTGAAACTTTTATGATGGCATCTTGGTGAACATCCCAAAGAACAACTTTGCCCCAATTTAACTATCTTCGTATCTATTACGGTTTCCGAGATACCAATGCTCGTACCTCGAATTTGTAGCACTCTGTATACAATTTTTGAAACCCATCCCTTGTTGATTGACAAATCCATTATTGACTGACACACTACACCATCAATGAACAAAAATTGGCTAGTACCGAAAGTACCTAAAAACCGGTTCCTTAGAGGTGTGGGACCGAAATCCCCGGTTCCGAAAAACAGTTCCGGTTCCGGAAACCCTAGGAGCATGTTTGATGCGGTTCGTCAATGCAACTCGTTAGTTCGTTTGGAAATTCGTCCATTCTGTTCGTGATATTTCTTTTGATGATTCGACCAAAAACCGATATTCTCCTGAATCGCTGCCATTGGCGTAACTACAGGGATGCCCGGGGGTGCCGCCCCCCCCCCAAGTACCGCTGGGCACCCCAAAAAGAAATCCTGAATTATGACTCTTGGTTACGTATTAATTTTTATTTGCTTGTTATGCAGTAAAAATGACGTTTTCTAGTTTTGTTTAGTTAATATTATTTTGTTGTGTTCAAGAAATGTGTTAATTTTTAGTTTTTTAGAAAATGTGTAGGTATTTAAGTAATCTACCGGAACACGGTTTGATAACCAAGTCTATGAAATTTATTGATAGAGAAATTCATGTAAACGTTTTATTCAAAAAATGTGTTCTTAAAATTATTTTTCATTTTTAAAAAAACAAAAGCCCCCCCCTAGGCTCAACCCCAGCTCCCTCACCCGGCCCACCCCAGGATAAATTGGTAGTTACGTTAATGATCGCTGCACAAACCATTGCATTGACTTAACAATTTGCAGCCTTGGTGCATCAAATCGACATTGACTTAAAATTTTGAAATAATTTGAAAAAGTAAGCTATTAAAAAAATCTTTTAAATCCACAATTAAGACTTTAGTAAAGTGATAAATTGTTTTGCGATGACTACGTTTATAAAGTGCTCAAAATTAACTAGACCAAAAAATGGAGTTCTTATTACAAAATAATAATAAAAAAAGATATTATCTTTTTAAGAGACATATGTATAATAGCACAAGCAACACACGACTAGAATGCCGCGCCTTACGTAATGCATATTCGCACATAAAAATATTGTTTTAAACAGGTAGCTTTGATTTATTAATTGTCGTTCCGCCGCTTTTGTGTAGCTTATTAGGCTTTTACAAAAAAATCGGCTAATGCTCTCTTTATTTTCGTCCACATTAAAAGGAAAAGATACGATCGCACAGGCACAAGTGGATTTAAACAAGTTTATATTTTTATATTTCTCGGGAAATTGTAACATTTATTGCGTTATTCTGCAAACAACTTAGTATATATAAACAAATCTTGCAAATTCGAGCTTCCAGTAAACTATTTTTGAATCTCTGAATATATACAGATTGGTAGTAATATTTATAATAATGTACTCAGTAAGAGCATTTTCATGAGATGTACTTAGTAAGGTTGTTAAATTAAATCTAATATTGTTTTAGGTTTTATTAGTGATAACCCTTATTTTGGCATGCAACGGTGCTGTAATTCTTAGTGACTACCATCACGACTATGGACTGGCATTTGGGCATGCTCCTGCCATTGCGATAAGTCATGCACCAGCTGTCATTGGACATAAAGAGGTTGATTATTACGTAAGTTTTGCACATTTTTGTACGGAGATTATATTGAAAAATAAGTTTCATAAATCTATGTAGGTATACATACAGGGTATCCAATTTAGTGTGTTTTTTGGGGTTTCCCAAAGAGCAACTTTGCCCCAATTTAACTATCTTCGTATCTATTACGGTTTCCGAGATACCAATGCTCGTACCTCGAACTTGTAGCACTCTGTATACAATTTTTGAAACCCATCCCTTGTTGATTGACAAATCCATTATTGATTGACACACTACACCATCAATGAACAAAAATTGGCTAGTACCGAAAGTACCTAAAAACCGGTTCCTAAGAGGTGTGGGACCAAAATCCCCGGTTCCGAAAAACAGCTCCGGTTCCGGAAACCCTAGGAGCATGTTTGATGCGGTTCGTCAATGCAACTCGTTAGTTCGTTTGGAAATTCGTCCATTCTGTTCGTGATATTTCTTTTGATGATTCGACCAAAAACCGATATTCTCTTAAAAAAAACATAATTTCTTAATAATATGGCAACATGGCAACATATGTATTAGATTAAATTTACAAGAAAGAAAATCCAGAAAAGATCCAGCGGTTCTCAAAATTTTAGCAAAAAATAACTTTTTTTGCTAACAAAAGTCCGTTATTTTGAACTTATTTGAAAAACGATAAAGAGAAAATATGTTTCTTTTATCGAGATCTACCACCCCTTAAAATACTTGCACTTATTTCTGGAACACCCTGTGTATTAATATAATTTATTTATTATAATATATACAGAATGAGTCTTAAAATAAGTGCTACTTTTTTCAGAGCTGGTAGATCTCGATAAAAGAAACTTTACTTTTCTTTTTCATGCATCCGTTATACGTTGGTACGTTGGTCCGACGGTGCTCTGATTGGTCATAGCGTTTTCGCGCCACTTTTCATCCGTAAATATTTTACTTCGTAGTTAAGCTAGTTAATGGACCCGTTCATACGATAACGGACGTTTTGACACTTTTTTGACAAATTTAATCTAACAATAATAAAATTATAAGTAAAATAGCAAAATCGTTATGGAAACAATATAAAAAAACACCAACGTATATCCGATAAACGGAGGCATGAAAATGCAATAAATTTAAAAACTGCGTTATTTTTTTACCAATCAAAGTCTTTAAATTCTACCAATAAAATTAATATCGTATCAACGTATCGTCGGACAACGGATGCATGAAAATCAAGCTTTACTGTTTTGAGAACCACTGGATCTTTCCTGGATTTTCTTTCTTATAAATTTAATCTATTACTTACGTTGCCATATTATCAAGAAACTATGTTCTTTAACTAAATTATAGATAAAACAAACTCCATTTTTTTTTAAATTCCAAAATTAAAAAAAAATCGTGAAAAAAACTTCATAGACGCGTTTCTGGGGTCGAAATATACTACTCATAAAAATATTTGCACTTAATTAATACCTACCCTATACAATAACGCTATTTTATTTATATAATAATAATAGTTTCCGTATATAGCGTTTAAGCTCCCGTATATAGCGTATATAGCGTTAGCCTTGGGAGTAGCAAGGTACAGCTTGCCATACTAGAGCCGTTCGATATACAAGGAAGGTAATGTGGCACTACGCTTCAACCGCCTATTATTACCTCAGGATTGTGAATCCCAAGTATTCATTTAAGGCTGAGTCGACCTAGATACCCAAACTATTTTTATTTTAATAAAAATAGTCGGCTGATGAAATGCCGGGTATGGGAATCGAACCCACTATCTTGAGATTGGTAGACGAGAGGCTGTACCTCTACGCCACCGGGCACCTTTATTTTATTTATAACAATTAATAAATTTATGATAAAAATCAAATTAAAATTAAAAATAATTGTATTTAAGATATTTACAAGAATGACCAATTTTTTTAAAGTTTAACATCCTGTAATTTTAAAACCCATGTTTATAGGGACTTTTTTCATATTTTTTTTAGTGAATGAATAAAATAAAGTAAAGACAAGATTTCAGTTAACGTCTCCTTTTTGCTGCCAGGGCTAATGTGGACGGGGCCTACTTTGTTTACGCGGAATTCGAACCGCGGTCCTCGGCCATATCATGGTCAGTGGCCTACCGACTTAGGAAGTGTCTAAATTAACTCTTACTCACGAGATATCCGATCTCATCCGGCCTCGAACCGGTTTGAATGAGCAGTGTGTATCAATATATTTTACACTTTTCCCTTGGACAACAGCACGATACAGAGTTTCGAACCGGGGACCCGTCCATCCACCAGTATCGCCTTACGTCGCTTAACTTCGGTGTTCTAATGGGAACCGGTGTTTCAACGTAGTTAGGCCGTTGCCTAATCAATGAATACTTAACTTATTTAACACTTTGGCTAGTTAATGACATTAACATTTTTTAAATGTTGCTATTAGACTTGGATTTAGGCAAATTAAGAAAATTACATTTATCGCATCAAGAATACTGAAATCCATAAAATATCAAGAGACAACTTTTAATCGACATTAAATGATCTACAGTGGAACACATGTTTTTTTTTCAATATTCCAGTGATAACCCATATGAACATCCCTGGTGAATCTGTCGACACTTTTTTAGCATTAAAATATGTATCACTTACAGTAAATTTTCCCTAAAAATCTCCATTCAAATCGGTAAAAGAATTTAAACTCCTCTAGCTACGAAATACAGCAAAATGGGAATTGTAATATAAAAAATAAATTTTATTTTTACGTAAAGAATCTCCCCATGAGAGATGGCACATTTTTCTTGAAACGCCAGTAATGGCAGTATTTTTTCTAACAACTTTTTTAGACACCGCCAAAGTATGAGTTCCAATATGGAGTAGCCGATCATCACACGGGGGATAACAAGGAACAGAAGGAGGTTCGACATGGAGATACAGTTCATGGTGAATATTCAGTCAAAGAGGCGGACGGTACTATTCGAACTGTCAAATATACAGCTGACGATCACAATGGATTCAATGCTGTAGTTTACCGACATGGTCACGCATTGCATCCCACTGGACATCATCATCAGGCTATAGGTAAAACCTCAGAAATATAATAGATATAAAGTCTGTTCAGCCATCGTTCACAGTTACGTCATCATTATGTGTCAAATATGAATTTTAGGGTGTGTCTGAGATCAGTTCGTATTGTTTAGAACATTTTAAGTACGTTCCTATAGTATTGATTGACCGAGTTCTGATTTTTTCGCCATTTATTCATCTTTTCTTAAACTGTTCATCAGTTATGATCCCTTTAATTCCAGTCTATACAGGGTCCGGCAATAGTGCGTCGGGCATCTGTAGCTCGTAGAATAAAAAACTTAGGAATTTCATTTAAGTGCTAATCTATAGTATGTACTAGGATGTATTTCTGGAAAATATTTTAACCTCTATAGAGTGGCTCAAAAAAGTTTGAGTGGATTTGGATGATTTTTTTTAAATGGAACACCCTGTATATTATTGCATTTTTGGCTTTATTTCTGATCACTTTATATAATCCTAAGATATTATTAAGTTTGTTTTGATAGTTTCAGAGATATTAATAAATAAATAAAAGAAATATATTTTTCAGCCTTTCTTATAAAATTTATTAAAAATACGAAAACTGTCCTGAAATCAAAAATACTCCAGGTATTTACTATAGTTGGTCTGTACTTACTTTATTATAAATAATCGTAATCTTAAACTATACAGGGTGTTCGCAATTCTATTTCAAACTTTCTAAAATATAAAATCATTTTCCTTCGTTTTTTTAAATGGAACACCCTGTATATTATTTTTTTGTTGGATGGAGAATTCGAAAGTGAACATTTTTTGTATTTACAGTATTTTAAAATTTTTAACGGTTTCGCAGATATTTGATGTATTATTACATATGGCTCTTACATCGCCAAGATACAAGAAAAAGATCATTAGTTGGCTTTGAAAAATAAGTATTACAGTATAATTATATTGTAATCTAACTTTCAAGTAGGTTTAGTGTCAGAAATAAATCCTTAAATATCAAAACATTAAAAGGCTTATAGGCCAAAGGACAAAAATGCTTTAATAAATATTCACTTTAGGCTTTCAACAGATGTAGGTTGCGTTGATGAAAATATTACCTTAACATTTTTTTAGTAAGTTCTCAATTTGCTGCCTTCTAATAGAAAAATAACAATAATAGAAAAAAGTATTCAATAAAAAAAAAACTAATATACTTTACACTACTACCTTAAACTACCAAAAAACGTAATTGTTTATAATAAATGTTCAAAATGTCTTCCACCTTGGTTTAAACACATTTCTATGCTATTTCTAAAAGATATGTCATCATCATCATCATCATCATTAGCCGTTTGTCGTCCAACTTTGGACATAGGCCTCTCCCAATTCTCGCCACCGATCTCTGTTCTGTGCTGTGCGTGTCCAATGTAGTCCTGCCACTCTTTTGAAATCATCGTACCATCTCATTTGAGGGCGTCCTCTCATTCGCTGTCCTAAGTATGGCCTCCATCGCTGAATTACCGTGTTCCATCTAAAAAAAGATATGTCAACATTTCGTAAAATTGCAGGTGTAATGCGGGTAAACGCATCTGTAATTCTTTGTCGCATATTTTCTTTGGTTGTAGGCAATTCCTTATACACAATTTCTTTTACATATCCCCACAAAAAAAAATCTAATTTGGTCAAATCGGGAGATCTGGCTGGCCAGCCGACTGGTCCGCCTCTTCCTATCCATCGTCTCGGAAAAACATTATCAAGGTGGTCACGTACTTCTAGAGCGTAATGTGGTGGCGCACCATCTTGTTGCAGCCACATTCTGTCTCTGATATGTCTAGGAATATTCAAAATTAACCGTGGAAATTCGTTTCTTAGAAAATTTAAGTAAATTTCGCCGGTGAGATGGTTATCAAAAAAATAAGGACCTATTATTAGTTCACCAATAATTCCACCCCAGACATTTAATGACCACGAGTGCTGATAATCCACTTGCCTAATTAGTCGTGGATTTTCAGTAGCATAATAATGAAAATTATGCTTATTTACGCATCCAGTTTTGTAAAATGTGGCCTCATCGGTAAAGAAAACTTCCGTAAAAAAATTAGCATTTTCTTGTACTTTAAATCTTGCCCAATTACAAAATTCCGTTCTATTTTGAAAATCGTTTTCTGTTAGGCTCTGATGGAGTTGGTAATGGTAAGGATGGTAACGATATTTTTTTAATATTCCCCGAACCGTCCTTTCATTTACGCCAGTTGCTGCGCTGATTTCTTTTTGAGACGAATTTGGATCTTCCTCTACAGTTAAAAGTACATTTAACTGATTTTCTTCGTTGGTGACATACTTCCTTCGTTCCTCTTTTTTATAGATCACGCTTCCAGTATCAGTAAATCTGTCAAAGAGTCTTCTCTCTCTATAACTAACCTCTTCAGGATGCCTTCTTTCAGGACACCGACAAGCATACAGCTTACTTGCTAGTAAACATTTTTTTTCGCTTTCGCCCAATACAAATATCATATCAACAAGTTCATCTTTGCTAAAATTCATTTTACATTCACAATCTACTGAATATTTAAAAATTAATATACTTTTTAATTATGTTAACAGTTAACTGAATTAAATGAAAAACTATTGTGTCATATAAACTGACAACTATTGTAAATTTTGACATAGCAATCTACGTTTATTGAAAGCCAAATGCGGATATTCATTAAACGTTAAGGCATTAAAGGATTTTAGTCGTTCAAAGTTTTTTTTATCTATTTCTGGTACTAAAATAACTTGGAAGTTAGATTACAATATAATTATACTGTAAGACTTATTTTTCAAAGCCAACTAATGGTCTTTTGTCTTAAATCTGCGTTGCTAGAGCCATATGTAATAAATACTCCAAATATCTGGGAAACCGTTAAAAATTTTAAAATACTTTAAATTCGAAAACTGTTCACTATTCAATTCTCCATCTATTGAAAAAATAATATACAGGGTGTTCCACTTAAAAAAACGATGAAAAATTATTTTGTATTTTAGAAAGTTTGGCACAGAATTTTGAACACTCTGTATGACTTAAGATTACGATATTTATAGCAAAGTAACTACAGACCAGCTATAGTAAGTACCTGGTGTGTTTTTGATTTCAGGTTTTTGTATTTTTAACAATTTTTTTAAGAAAGGCTGAAAAATTTATTTTTTTCATTTATTTATTAATATCTCGGAAACTACCAAAACAAATTTAATAATATCTTAGGATTATGTAAAATGATCAAAAATGAAGCCAAAAATGCATTAATATACAGGGTGTTCCATTTAAAAAAAATCATCGCAATCCACTCACACTTTTTTGAGCCACCCTGTAGAGGTTACAATATTTTCCTGAAATACGTCCTAGTATATACTATAGATACTGGAAAGAAATTTATAAATTTGCTATTATAGGAGCCACAGATGCCCGACGCACTATTGCCGGACCCTGTATATAGAAATAGGCCAGTTCCTATTTCTAAAGCATCAGCTATATTATTTAAAAACGCTATCAATTTGTATTTTACATAGGAATATTAATAAATTTAACTTAAATATAAGCTGAGCAAAGAGCTCTTGTTCATTTTGGTTAAATCTTTGAGGCATTTTGGCAATAAAAAAAATGAATATAGGGTGTATTCCGTTGCTTACCTTGGTTATGGTTTTATGTTCCGTTTCTATCGGTTTCCTGAAAGTTTTCTTATTAAGGAACACGGTTCCTGAAATATCTATCATAATTGTCACCAAACTAACCAGCGCGCGAAGGCTGGTTTCTCTGGTTTTGTTTGTCAATCAATGTCATTTATGTGACAGAAATCAAGCAAATATTAGAAGTTCGAGTGAAATTCTCATTTAATTTCTAAAATAAAGAGGTAGTAGAGGTAAATAAATTTATATTTTTATAAAGTCAGGAACATTTAAAGAAAACATGAGAAACAAGACAATAAGTAATCGTGAATGTTTTGTAAGCTATAAAAATATAAATATTGATTAGATTTGTTTATTTATTATTGATCTATTTTAATATTTGACCTGCAGAAATGAATCTGAAATCTTCACTTGAGCTGTCACGAGTTTGACAGTTTATTAATAAAGTACTTTTCAATATTAAACTCCATTGAAAAGAAGAAGCAAACATAAAAGCAGAGAATAGGTACATTAAAAATGCATAAAAGATAAATTTTATAATAAAGGTAATGAAATTTAAAAATGTCAACATATTTGACATTTCCAGTATTTTACCAAACCGTTCCGTATCAAACCGATGTTTTTCAGGAAACCGCTCTTTACCGTAGTTTACCGGTCTGGTTTTTATTGGTTTTGCAGCGGAATATAGCCTTATTTTTACAGCAACAATCAATTTTGACATTGATCGATGTCCATCATAGACTAATGTCACGTACTAGAAATAGATTGGACACTGATATAAAACAAATGGGTCCGTCATTTAGAGCCACCTGGTGATCCGGAAGAAACTAATGGAGAGTTTTGGCATAACATAATTTAAGCGTTCCGTTAGTTATTAACGCTAATTAAGACGGTAACGTTACTCAAGCGCAAAATTATTCCTTGTAAAATATAAAATAATAAATATAGACCTTTTTACTGCATTTTATGTTTTATTAGATCATTAGAAGTGTAACATAATTACAACAAAATTAAAATTATAAATTCATACATTTTAAACACCAACAATAGATCACATAGCGCCTATTTTTTTTTGATTTAACAACTAAATTATAATATAGTAAAAATATTATAGACTACTAATTAACTGTTACTAAAAATACTATATATTACCAACTATGTACTTACTTATTTATGACTAAACTATTTTTTTATTTGGTTTATAAATTATTATTTCTAAAATGTCAAGATGACTTTAATAAAAAAAGGTTAGTATCTAACACGAAAATGATGATCGACTGTAAGTATCAGAATGCACAAACTAATAAAAATACAAACTATAAACACAAATCACTGAACTTTCCGACAAATCAGGAATATCTGGGAATATCTGAATTAATAATTATTTAAATAATGATTTAAAAATAACTTGACGGATCACCAACATTTTGTCAACTAGACAAAAACTAGACCATAGACAGTAGCTAACATAGAGACTGTCATGTCATCTTCATAATATAAATTAGAAACCTGTACTTTAATGTCTTTTGCGCCGTCTGGTGAAATTACCATTGAGTGTCTAGGGCATGATGTCCATCAATAAAATTATAACCTCAAATCAAACGACACCGACAATTACTGAAAGGAAATTTTGACATTGATCTATGTCAGTCAATAAAATTATCACCCGAAATCAAATGACAATGACAATTACTAAAAAGAATATGTAGTAATTTATGAAATGCCCTAATGATCTTATATGCCTAATTTTTTTAACTTCAAAATTAAGACTTTAATAAAAAAAAAGAAAAAAAAAACTTTATGGTGTTTGGTTTGTGGCCGCTGAGCATAGGCCTTCAGTAAAAACCTTCCATCTTGTTTTGTTTGCCCCAATTTTCTTTACTTCTGAGGATAAGTATCATGTCATGGTTTTCATTTTCTACAGAAGTTTATCAAAAACAAGTGATATTCTGTTTAAGTAAAAATAAAACATATTTTTGTTTCAGGATATGGACCCATCGCAGTTTTACATTAGAATATATTTAAAAATAATTCTTCAATAGTCAAAGTATAGTAGTATAATTATAGTTTATAGTGTCTTTTTTATAATGTAGTATGTAGTGACAGGTATATCAATTATTAATTAGACATTAGTTAATTCAAATCTATAGTAAAGTATGACATTGGGTCAAGTTTTCTTCATGAGGTTTGATTAATTAAAACACTAGTAACTTAAACACAGCGTTATAACAGAAAGTAATCAGTATAATGATTTTTTTTCTTTTATTAACACTAAATCTTTTATCATATAACTATAGTTTTAATTTTAATCAATTCTTAAGTCAAGATTAATGTCGAATAGTGAAGTGGGTTATTTCGTGTATTCTCGCCTAACTTTGTCTCGTCTCGGCTTATTTTCACCAGACGAGGAAACACGAAAAGCCTCTCTTCTTTTTGACCTACTTCGGCTTATCGGGCTTATTTCGCGAGTAGTATAGAGGCCATTTTAAAATTTAATAAAGTTACAACATCTGTGAAGCATAATATATGAAGAAAATTTGACTCAAAGTTAACATAATTCTATTTCTTTGTATATATTACTGTAATTTTGTGTTTGAAATAAAACAACTATCAAATCTAAGTAAGTGTTTATAAAGAAATTACCTCACACATTATTTTTTCTTAAAAGTGTAATAGACTAAGTCCAAATAGTTGTCCAGTTTTAATAGGATGAACTGAATTTTCTCTAATCAAATAAGACTAAGACAAAAAATTTCTAATAACTATAGATACGGTAATCGCAAAACATTTTCCGATGCACGTCATCAATCACACCGAAATTGGCACTAAAGCCTATAAACCTGACTAAATAAAATTATGGCAAAAAAGTTTAAATTTTTTGTATAATTTAAGATACCCAGCAGCTCTTCATTTTACTTTATAGAGCAAATGATTGTAAATTGTAATAGATATTTTATTATCGCTATGTTGGTGACATTGCGCCGTGTTCAGCAACGTTGTCGTTTATTTTTTGGCAATTATCATAATGTCATATTTTGTATAATACCGTGTTGTTGATTTTTTGTAAGTAATTCTCGTTTTTTGCCTATTTTCATAGTCTTCTTTAAAAAATTGATGGTCTTTTAAACACAAACAGTTCTTTTAAGAACTAAATTTTGGAGTTTTTGTATTATATTATATTATATATTATTTGGATTGCATTTCTTCAAATTGTGTGTTGAAAATATGCCAAAGCATTTAAACAGTTGAAGCAAATAAGAGCGTGTAGCTTCCCTGATAAACTATTTTGAATGATAACGTGATAATATTTATTTATAATATAGGTCCTTTATTATCCTTGACTGCAGTCAGAGAAGTAAGTTTGATTGGTGAGCCACATTATACCACTTTCAAAGATATTTCTACGTTAGTTATTAGTAAATTCTGTGATTATTAGTTTGTGCATTAATGACACCCTCTTACTTGCTATTATCACTTGTAGTGTTATAAGATGTACATCAATAAATAAATAAATAACCCATAAAAACGCTTAGAATAATCTTCATAATATTCACAAATAAATCAAATAATTACTAAAATATAAATTATTAAATTAAAAATAAAACGTAAAAATCTTTAAAAAATTATATAATAAATACCGTATGATCGAATAAAAACGGCGTTAGCGATGGCTGTGAAATCGTGAAGATCGCTGTTATTTTATGTGTAAAATTATATGGGGAAATGTCATCGATCGTCATTTCATAGTCATTGCTGACGACGTTTTTATTCAATCTTACGGTATATTGTTTCCCAATTTTACACAGTAAGATTTATCTCATAAATCCATCACAATCTGGCAGCGCTGTCGCCATCGCTTGTCACTCAAAAGTTTATCACGTGCATGGAAAATCGTTTTGCGATTACCGTAGAATTGTTATTAAGAAAAGAAAATAATACATACAGGGTGAGTTTCCTACGATGTTCTCTATGGGTATCTCGGAAACTACTGGAGATAGAGAGTCAGTTAAATAGGGAAAGAATTGCAGTTTTATGGGGTGATAAATAAGCGCCTTTCAGATTTTTGAAAAAGTTCATGGCTTACTAGATATTTCGAAAAAAACAAATTTTGGCTATTTTAAAAATTGTCCCTAATTCCATTATAATCTATTTTAGACAAAAAGTTTTCAGATAAAAGTTGTAGATATTCACATCCCTAATGAGATTGTGTTCTCCGATTTTTTCTAAAGCCTGTCATTTTTGACATATGACACAAACATATGTTTTTTTAAATGGAAACCATAGTTGGCCATGACTTCATAAACAGCGTCATTTTTTAAGCTTTTCAGCGATATAAGCTATGATATGTTTCTTTCACAAAATTAGTGAGTTATAGCCAATTCTTATCTTTCTTGACCAATTTCACTTATTTAGCCATGGAAACAAGTTCAATCGTTGTTGTTCTCAGAAATATGAAATTGTCATATTCAATCTTTGTGAATTAATATAAACAACAATTGTAAATAAGAGTTTTTCAAATGAAGAAAAACGTGTAGGATTATTGGTTCAACTTTTCTTGGCCATACAGTTTTGAGAATACGTTGACCGGTGAACGTTACTTACGTTTTGTAGAGAAAGGTTTTCAAGACATGTTAGAAAAATTAAATTTATTAATACTCGCCCATTAATAGAGTGGTTCCAACATGACTTTCATTATGACACACCAACCCCAATCCCCCCCCACAAACACACAATGAAAGTTATGTTATAACACAAAATGTTAAAAATTATTTATATCATAATTATCTAGACTCAGGGATAGAAAGAGGTGGACCAAATTGCATGGGTCTCCTCGGTCACTTGACCTATCCATTTTAGATTTTTTTATGCAGTATGGTTAACAACACGGTTTACAGAAGAACTTATGAATTAAGACAGGCACTCGAAGAGGCGGAACAGGAGAAGTTTAATTAAGTCGACCGGTCGTTCTGTGAGAATAGCTAGAAATTCAGTTTTAAAAAGATGCATTTATGTACTCAAAACAATTTTTTGTTTTGAGTACATAAATGCATCTTTTTAAAACTGAATTTCTAGATTTTTTGAAAATCTTCTAAAATAACTTTATAATATAGATTAATAATATATTTTGTCTTTTTATAAGTAATAAATCATAACAAAATTAGAACACCATTGAAAACCGTTCAGTAAAAAAACGTAAATAACTTTCACTGGTCAACGTATCCTCGAAACTGTATTTCCAAAAAAAGTTGAACCAATAATCCTACACGCTTTTCTTCATTTGAAAAACTCTTATTTACAATTTTTGTTTATATTAATTCACAAAGATTGAATATGACAATTTCATATTTCTGAGAACAACAACGATTGAACTTGTTTCCATGGCTAACTAAGTGAAATTAGTCAAGAAAGATAAGAATTGGCTATAACTCAGTAATTTTGTGAAAGAAACATATTATAGCTTATATCGCTGAAAAGCTTAAAAAATGGCGCTTTTTATGAAGTCATGGCCAACTATGGTTTCCATTTAAAAAAAATATATGTTTGTGTCATATGTCAAAAATGACAGGCTTTAGAAAAAATCGGAGAACACAATCTCATTAGGGATGTGAATATCTACAACTTTTATCTGAAAACTTTTTGTCTAAAATAGATTATAATGGAATTAGGGACAATTTTTAAAATAGCCAAAATTTGTTTTTTTTTTGAAATATCTAGTAAGCCATGAACTTTTTCAAAAATCTGAAAGGCGCATATTTATGACCCCACAAAACTGCAATTCTTTCCCTATTTAACCGACTCTCTATCTCCAGTAGTTTCCGAGATACCCATAGAGAACATCGTAGGAAACTCACCCTGTATAAATTTCAATTTTTTAAAATTGCTTTATTTGAAATAAATAAATAGTTTTCTACATACTAAGTGCATTTGGCATTATTTACAGTGCAACAGACATCAAATTCAAAATCTAGTGGTATTGTGGAGCGGCTACAACTTTTTTGTATACAGCTGGAGCAGGAGTGGGTTCTCCCTGTTTCTCTACTACAGCGTTGAAACCATGTCCATCATCAGAATATTTGACAATTCTGATGGTACCGTCAGCTTCGTGGAGAGAGTACTGTCCAGTAACGTGGTCTCCATCACGGTGTTCTTCCTGTGAGTGGTAATCACCGGTGTGAGGGTCCTGGATAGCATAGGCGAATTGGTACTGAGCTGGACCGTACTCTTCTTCTTTGTAAGCTGGAGCAGCGGCGTACTTAGCTACCACGGGAACAGCTACTTTAGCTGCGGGAGCTGCGTCATAAGCTGGGCTGGAGTAAGCTGGGGCAGCGTATTTTGTGATGGCAGGGAGAGCTACTTTGGTTAGGGCTGGAGCGTATTTGGCAGGAGCTGGGTAAGCTGCTGGTGCTGAGTAAGCTGCTGGTGCTGGGTAGGCTGCAGGTGCTGGATAAACTGGTGCTGAACTGTAGCTGTAAGATGTTTGGTATTGGCTGAGGCCGGCGTTGGCTGTAGCCACAATGGCAAGGACGGCAAAGAACTGAAAATTAATGAATTGAATTAATCTTTGTTTTATTGAAAACTACAGGGTGGCCGTTTTGTGTAAACTACAGGGTCACCTGGGATTCCGAAAAAGTTCTATTTCTCGATAGATTATTGGATAGTAATTTTAAGCATAGAGGGTGATTCAACCATAGACCTTCAAACTAAAGTTGTATATTTTTAAATAGAATAATGTATATTTTTTAGCTCAGTAGATTTGGCATTAATTTAAAACTATCATAATGTCAGTTAGGTTACGCCAATATTTAGATGAAAGTTGGTGTTTGGAAGTTTTTTGACAAGAGAAATTTGATTTTGATGTCAATATGACTCCTATTTGTACGGGACGCCACCTACAAGTGTTTTAACTGTTTTGAAGAGTAATAAATTTTCGGTCCGGACCTGTATAAAGCTACTGAGTGAAAAAATATACATTTCCGTGATTTTTTACGTATAAAATGTCCCTAGGTAAAAATCGCTACGAGCAGCCGTTCTCAAGATATTTAGAATGGGAATAGTCAATAAATATCATTATTGACAAAAAATAAACAGGTTGAGTAGTTAGTTATTTGACTGAAACGATAAATTTGGGAACTTTTTATTTTTTTAAATTAGTCATAATTTAAGTAAAAGTATTTAGTCAACATGTTTTATGGTATGACAGGTATTGATAATTTCGATTAAAAAACGTCGTAAATGTATATTTTTTCATTCGGTAGTTTTATACGGGTACGGACGAAAAGTTATTACTCTTCAAACCAGTTAAAAAATATGTAGGTGGCGCCCTCTACAAGTAGGAGTCATATTGATATCAAAATCAAATTTCACATGTCAAAAAACTCCCAGATTTTTATCCAAATATTGAAGTTATTTCAGAAATTATTTGGAAAAAATCGAAATAAAAATGAAACTTCTACACCCTGTATCTCCGAAACTAAGCATTTTAGGACATACATTTATCCGAACTGTTTTACTTATTTTTATCTGCAGAATATGCTGTCGAAGTTCCCGGAATACAGTTAGGACCACCGTGTATATTAGGTATGTACATTTAAAAATATACTTTAGTTTTAAAATATGTTTGAACCACCCTGTATGTTTACAAAAATATTCTCAAAATGTGCGTTAACATTGCTCTCATGTTACGTAAAAAAATTGAAATAAAGATCACAAAAAGAAGCCTGGGTCACCCTGTATAAGATTATATATTTCACTTACTCTGTGCATTTTGTTGTTACTGTGGTGTGAGTCTGACTTTAACAGTGTCTTTAATTATTTTTTTCTGCGTTTATATATCTAAATGTATTTGATTTAAATTCCTGTCCCAGGTCCCACCCTTCTTACAGCTCTAAGAAGCGAATTACCCAATCGATCCTTACGATCAAACCGCACATATATCGGTAACAGTTTTGACCGATATTTTTTTCATTAATTTTTGTGTTCGACATGAAGGTCGTACCCTCAGGTCGTACCCGATTGGCACGCGAGTGTTTTGCTCCGCTCTCGTTATGTCTAACTTGGTCTAACTAGAGAAAGAATTGTTTTGGGCCGATGACAAGTGTGAAGAAACCGAAGCAATTAAAAATTAATAAACCGAAATATTGTTTATTTCATACTGTGTTCAGAGGCGGCTAGACTATTTTTTTGGGTTTGGTCATATTCGCAATAGGATTTTTTGACCAAAATCACAATATTATCGACTTCCAGATTTTCCAAAACAGTAATTGGAAAGAGCATGATCATATACAGCGTTCGGCAATAGTGCGTCGGGCATCTTTAGCTCCTAGAATAAAAAACTTGTGGAGCCTCTGATTCACCGCTGAGGCTCCAAGGGGAACGATAGTTAGTATTGAAATGAAATTTTGTGAGCATATGTAGATTAATTCAGAGCACTTTTTAAAAATATAGAGAGGTCTACAGGGTGTCCCCCAAAAAAGTTACACATCAAAGTTGTGTTTTTTGTAATGGAACACCATATATATTAATTGATTTTCGGATTCTGGGAGAAAAATAAAGGTGAGTTTTATAAGAGAATATGACTAAAATGTAAGGTTTTCGCATATTTAACATTTTCTAAAAATAAAGAACAATTTTTAAATTACAATAAAAGCTACCTAAATTAGAATTTACCCGGTAGAACCTAAAATATGTAGTTACATTAACTATTGTACTTTAAATCAAATTAAAACTTGATCCAAAAAGTTATACAGGGTGAGACAAAATTAATAATGAACATTATTGGGTCATCTCTTTGGGTCATCTTCAAAAGTATGTTACTCTTTTATTTTAAACGAAACACCCAGTATATTATTCTGATATTCAATGGAGAATTCATGTCTCTTCAAAATACTATTAAGGTTGCCTACCGCTCAAACAAAGATTTTCCTAGATATTTTCATTTACATGATTTGATCTGACTAGATCTTTATTGATAAAATCTAGGTGGCTGTGATATGTGTCTAACGTTACTTCAACATAGCTGTCTAATTAGTCCAAATTTAACAACTAGTTATCATTTTGTGTCAGTTAAAACAAAAAAAATTCTCGTGTCAGTTAAAACAAAGAAATTTGCCGAAAATGCAAACTTATCCTACATCAGAGATAATTGATCTTCTTCTTCTTCTTGTTGTTTTACGATGACCACGCGCCTTTCAACGGCCAGTCAGAGTCTAAGAGATAATTCATATGATTCTATTAGTTGGTTAGGTTAGGTTAGGTTAATCCTATCAATTAATAGAATACTTAAATGCTCCTGATTTTGTCTAGTCTGTGTGTTTTTATGGGGATATGTTAAAGACAGTGTTTACAAAACTCGACCAACTATTGTCGACAACATGAGAGAAATTATTGTAGCTGCTTTTCGAGGTAGAACTCCACATAATGCCTTTTAAAATGAAAAGATCCTTTTGAAAAGACAATCATTTTATGCAGTTAACAGGAAAGGAAGCATTTTGAGCATTTGATTTCATCTAGCAATTTTTTTCCACATAATTAGGTTTATATCAAGTTTTAATTCTGTAATACTTAAAATATGTTTTAAACGTGTACCTTTTTATTGCCGTTGAGTATTTTACTCTACAATCTTTAATTTTTGTTAAATTAACAAAAGGTATATCACAACCACCTAGATTTTTTCAAATAATAAAGATCTACTAACGCAAAATTATAAAAATTAAAATATCGAGGAAAATCTTTGTCTGAGGGGTAGGCAACCTTAATAATATTTTGAAGATATATAAATTCCCCATTAAACACCGGAATAATATACTGGGTGTTCCAGTTAAAATAAAGGAGTAACTTGCTTTTAAAAGTGACTAATGTTCCATATTAATTTTGTCTTACCCTGTATAACTATTCGGGTCAAATTTCAATTTGGTTTAACATACAATGGTTACTGTAATTAAATATCAGGCTATACAAGGTCAACTAAAATTTAGGTAGCTGTTATCGAAATTTAAAATTTACTCTTCATTTTTACAAAATGAGAAATATGTCAAAATCCTTAGATTTTAGGTATATGCTTCTTTAATAAAACTCACCTTTATTTTTTTCCTAGAATCCGAAAATCAATTAATATATAGGGTGGTCCACTAGAAAAAACACAACTTTGATGTGTAACTTTTTTTGGGGACACCCAAAAAAAGGGGAACTCTCTATATTTTTAAAACACATTATGCTTAACATATTATGCTGCCAAAATTTAATTTCGATATAAACTACCGTTCTCCTTGGAGCTTCCGCGGCGTATGAGAGGCGCCACCCTGTATGTTCAAGGATGCATTTTAGGAAAATATCTTAACTTCTATAGGGTGGCTCAAAAATGTGTGGCTAGATAGATATGATTTTTTAATGGAACGTCCTGTATATTATTGCATTTTTGGCTTCCTTTCAGATCACTTTACATAATCCTAAGATATGAGTAAATATATTTCGATAACTTCAGAGATATTAATAAATAAATAAAAAATATATATTTTTCAACCTTCTTAAAAAATAATTACGAATACAAAAACCTGTTCTGAAATCAAAAGTATCTTAGGTATTTCTTTTAGATGGTCTATACTTAACTTTGCTATAAATATCTTAATTTTAAAGCATACAGGGTGTTCAAATTTCCACGCCAAAGTTTATAAAATATAAAATAATTTTCTTTGTTTTTTTAAATGAAAACACCCTGTATATTATTTTTTATTAGATCAAGAGTTAAAAGATGAACATTTTTTGTATTTAAAGTAATTCAAAATTTTTAATGGCTTTGCATAATATATGCATAATGATACATGGAGTATTATTTCATATGGCTTTTTCAATGGTAAAATACCAGAGAAAAATCATTGGGTGGCTTTGATAAAAATTTACTGCGGAAATGCCATAACATAAAACCGCGAATATCTGCAAAACCGGTAAACATTTTGAAATACTCATCGAATTACAAAAAATGTTTATTTTATAATTCTCCATCTACTGAAAAAATAATATACAGGGTTTTCCATTAAAAAAAAACAAAGAATATTTATATTTTTGAAAATTTGGCGTAGAATTTTGAACATCCTGTATGATTTACGATTACTATATCTATAGCAAAGTAAGTATAGACCATCTAATGTAAATACTTAATATAGTTTTGATTTCAGGACAGTTCTTGCATTTTTAATAAAAAAAATACCAAAAAAATATTTTTTTTTATTATTATTATTAATTATTTTATTAATTTCAGGACAGTTCTTGTATTTGTAATAATTTTTTTGATGAAGGTTGAAAAATATATAATTTTTATTTATTTATTAATATATCTGAAACTATCGAAATATATTTATTCATGTTTTAGGATTATGCAAAGTGATCTGAAAGGAAACTAAGAATGCATGCAATAATATATAAGGTGTTCCATTTAAAAAAAATCATCCCGACCCACTTACTTTTTTGAGCCACCCTATAGAAATTAAAATATTTTCCTATCCCCCCATCCAATCCTCCACTGTATCATAAAACACACCTTTACAAACTTAATTTCTGCCCTAAAAATAAGGTTTTGTACATATGTTGATACATATTGATAGTATAGATTATTGCAAAAATCTCAAAAATAAGTAACCTGATATACAGTATGTCCCCGGACATACTGTATTGTCTTTACAAGAGAAAAGTCTTTTTTTATTAACATTTTGAGAAAAATGCATTCATCATAAAAGTTTTTGCTTGTTCTAAAATGGTTAATCCCGTTTATACTTTTCCAAATTTCCATACCATTTTGGAGAAAATTACAAAAAACAAGTTTTGTGTGTGTGTGTGTGGGTCTCTTGTAAAGACAATCCGGGGACATACTGCAGAGCTGCGTTATTTCGAAAATTCGAAATAGTGTATCACTCTGTAAATTCACTTTATCATAAAATCCAAGATATCTTTGATATCTTGCAAGATATTTTTCTTCATAAATTTTGTAATTGATTTCACTAATTCTAAACTACTTAAAATAATTTTTCCGATTATTAGTATAGACAGATAAACAAATTTATTGATAAAAATCAAACCTAATTACACTTAGAAATTTAGATATTTTTACGACTGTGGTGCCCCAGGCGTTTCAGCTCATACTCATAGAGATATAGGTACACCATTAATGATTAGTATATTTTGTAATAAATAGATGATAAATAATATTCATAAATATTTCTATACTAATAAAGAGGCCTTGTTATAATTGTACCTAATTAACTAAACAGAAAATCTAGAGCATTTTTTCATAATGTATAATTTAAGCTGTTTAGGAGTATTGATGTCTATAAGTAGAGAAACTTGTTATTAATATGGCTTTATTTTAATTAGGTACAAATGGCCATATATCTTGTGCAAGAAAATTATATAATGGTTTATTGAAATGTTCTGCATATAAACAATGGCGAAATATTGAAATATTCCGTTCTGTAGGCCAAGTAATATTTTGGTTTGATATGTTCTAGTTCAGATTATTTAAAGCCAAATATACATAATAATCGCAGATTAACTTATTCTCACTGTAATAATGTAATGCTAAGCTCGTTACATGAAAACGTAAATGTTTCAATTGGAGCGCCCTGTATACTGTATCTATTATACAAATTATTTTCTGGTTGTTAATAGCACAATTAATAGCAGAGCAGTTAATAGGCATTTTTAATTTGAAAATTTAATATTTTCTTAAAGTGGCGAATGCGCTAGGAAATAGAGTTTTGAATATATATGTAGAGATGGCGGTAACAGTACTTAAAATTTAAAGTCCCTAAATATTATCTAGGAACTCTAGGGAAATTTCTAAAACTTACTTTGGCGACATTGCTTTTGAATTCTAACCTCACTTCGAACTGTCTATTTGATAGCGATAGGCGATAGGTAAATTTTAGTTTATATTTATTAATTTATTCTTAATACTTTAAAACGATGGCTAATGTAAATACCGATTTAACTGAAGAAGATGCCGCAGATTTGCAGTTTCCAAAAGGTACATTTATTATATTATTATACTTAAGCTTATGAAGAATATCTTAATTACTTACATACACATTGTTTTGGTTTGGCTAACTGATGTTTTTATGTTCAAAATTTGTTTAGCAACAAATTCAGACATTAAGATATAAATTCTTCATAAACTTACCCTAAGGAGTGTTTATTGAACTTTCAGACTCTACATCCCAAATACCAACTACAAGTACTCTTGTTAATGTATCAGATAAAAACGTAATCTTAGGGTACTGCTCGAACTGTTATAGCGAAATCGTTTTGCGGTATATTTATTGCGAGATGTGTAAAATCAATATTTGTCTAGAGTGTTTTTCGAAAGGAGCAGAGTTTGGAAAACATAACAATAATCACGATTACAGGGTTTTAACGACCAATTTTCTCTTGTTTGATAATTCTGATTGGACGGCAGAAGAAGAGCTTAGGCTTTTAGATTCTTTAATATCTTATGGTAATTGGAGTTTAGTAGCATTAGACTTTCCAAACAGGACCTTGAATGAAATTAAAGAACACTACGAGTATTTTTATTTGGATAAGAATGGTAATAAGAACCTTCCGAGTTACGATAAAGATCTTGGACTTCCTGAAATTGTTGTTCCTTATCGGTTCCGACTAACAGACTCAGAAGATCCTCCTAGATATTCATCAAATACAATCGGTTATCAGTCATTGGCAGGCTATAATCCTGCCCGAGGTGATTTTGAGAATGAATATGATAAAAGTGCCGAAGACTTGTTATCTTCTCTAGAAACTGTCGATACTTCAGATCCATTATACGAAACATTAACAGATATACAGTGTTCAGTGGTTCAAAGCTATAACAATCGATTACAAGAAAGGCAAAGAAGAAAAACAATAATTGCTCAGCATGGATTATTAGTTTTTCGTAAAACTGTTTCATGGCTGCACAGATATGACGCGACTATAACGAGAAGTGTCTATGAGAAATTTATGAGATTTATGCATTTGTGTGAACCCACGAAATTTGAAATGATTCTGGAAGGACTCCATAGGGCGGGAGAGTTGAAAATTAAAATACAAAGGTAAGTTATTTCAAAAATTAATTATACAGAGTGTGTGGACCAAAATCATAATATTATCAACTTATTTTAAAAAGGGCTCTGTAATATGGTGTGTGCATGGTTCTTACATCTTATCTATATATGTCATATACAGGGTGTTCAAATAGATACTGTAATATTATACTACATAAATAAGTATATTTTTTGTTTTGATTATTACTGAAATATTTTTTTAGTGTCATTTAAAAATGTTTGTGCCTTTAGACTTTGTTTTTCACATAGAGCACTTAGAGAAATTAACAGTGATAAAAATAAAATTATTAGTAGGCACTTAATAGCATTAAAACTGCAATTAAATTAATACTGTCGGATTTTTATAAAAACTTTCCTTTGTTAGCTTATTTTATTTTATATTTCTTATTAATTCATTGTAGAAAAAATATGTTAAGTCAAAATATTCTAAATTGACTGTTATACAGGGTGTCCTAGGCTGAGCGTGCATTAGAAGTTTCGAGAGAACTACAATATCTAGATCGGAGATTTTTTGCACATCATTGTTTGACAACGAGATCTATCGATTAAAAATATTTTCAATATGGCGGCATTTCCGGAAATACTGGAAGTTGACAGCAACTTTCTTATTTTAAATGGGTGTCCCCATTTTTTATTACACACTTAAACTCTCTATAAAATTTTATGAATTTTGATATTAACACTTTATACCTAACGTTAACCATTTTTGAGAAAAAAAAATATTTAAAATTTTTGGACGAAAAAAACTCGTCTGTCAAAAAAATCTGTATAGCCTAAACGTCAAATTTAGCGATTACCACAGCCACTGTAACCTGAAACATAAAGAGAAGACATGTGGCTATCTATTTCAAAAATTAAAATGTTTGAATTATGAAAGACTCATATTACAGAGAATTTAAGTATGTAATAAAAAATGGGGACACCCATTTAAAATAAGAAAGTTGCTGTCAACTTCCGGTATCTCCGGAAGTGCCGCCATACGCCATATTGAAAATATCATTAATCGATAGATCTCATTGTGATATAATGATGTGCAAAAACTCTCCGATCTAGATATTGTAGATCTCTAGAAACTTCTAATGCACGCTCAGCCTGGGTCACCCTGTATACGCTGTGGGTTAAACAACTTATTGTGCAATATTGCAAGTTGAGTAGTTGTTGAACATCTGGTTGTATATGCCATACCCAAATAAGAATATCAAAACACTGGATTTGCTTAGTGCCATCCACACACGAAAATTCAATTTTCTAGTGCAAATCTCTTTTTTAAATAAGTAAATAATAGATATTGTAATTTTGGCTCACCCTATATATCATGTAGAATCAATTTTAAAAAAATAATTATATTATTTAAAAAACATTTAAAAAAAACTTTAAAAAATTTACCCTGGATAAAAAGTTTTCTTATATTTGTTTTTACATGTATGTTTTAATACTATGCAATTTAAATACCATGTGAGCGGGAAAAAATGGTATTATAGTGGCCTTTGAAATCACAATCGATAATTTCGGCCTGGCCGATCTTTAAATGTAATTTATTAACATAAGGTGTCAAGAATCAATTTTTATATGAATAAAAGTAAAATTTTCAAACATGCCACTCATTCATAATATGAATAAATAACTTTACACAATATGTAAAGTTATTGAGTACAAATTTTTTTTTAATAGATTTGGCGTACATTTTTCTAAATTAAATATTCATTTTTTACATACTTTTATGTCAATTTTTATCAAAAAAAAGTACTCCTAGGTATACCGGGTGCGTTCCAAACGTGGCTCACCTCTATAACTTTTTTATATTTTTCAGATAAAAAAACGAGATTTTGTATGTTTGTATATGACATAGATTAGGATCGATTGACGTATTCAATTCTTTTCTATCACTTCCTGTTTTAGTGGAAATGACTATAACTTTTGATTTTTAAATGGCACCCTTGGTATTTTTTACTTTATTGGATAGAAAACGACACTCTGAATAGAATGACGTATCACATGTCAACTTTTGACATTTTCGCATATGGTTTATTTGAAATTATAACTTGCGGTTTGCAACGAAAATTTGACTCGAAATACCAAGTGTGTGATCACATCAAATTATTCGTAAAAAATGCTTTTTCCGAATATGGTGATGAGCCACCCTCGTTCCATTTGAAAAAATTGAGATATGATTAAAAATACGATTTGGGCATCTTTTAACCGGCCAGGACAAGACACGAAAAACATTAAACGATCAAATCTATTTTTCCAAGGCTCCTTAATTAAATATTAATGTTTTTAACACTGCCTTGGCACTCTAGATTGAAATTTAAAATACGATATTTTAAGCGAAAATGTCAAAAATTGACATATGATATGTCCGAGGGGTAAACCACTAGTGGAAATCATTGTACATTTTCTTGGGAATAACATGGCAATCAACTGGGAATACATGGAAATCCTTGAGAATCATCTGGGAATACCTGGGAATCACATGGGAATCCCTGGGAATCACATAGGAATCAACTGGCAATCGCTGGGAATGATGTGGTAATCGTTAGGAATCACCTCATCCTAACCTAGAAATCACATGTCATTATACAAAAGTTTTTCACGACGCGGCGTCCCCGTTCGCATGTGTACAGTACGTCTATCCGTTCTGTAGCTACGGGGTATCCGTGAGATGGGAAACGATATTCTCTCGATGTTTTTCGTAAAAAATTAGACGACGCGTCCCATCAATAAAAATTCGACAAATTTGCAAGTAGTCAATAAAATAAGTGGGCGGAGCGATTTGCAGTGACGTACTCGTCAAGTCGACGTATAAGATGTATTGCTGTTTATTTAAATGTTTTTTGTCCGCATTCCTTTCATAGACACAAATCCAGTAGACGTACTTTACCTATTTATTGTGATTAGAAAGTGTTCAGGCCCGTAAAACTTTTGCTAAAGCAGTAAGATAAGTAGGTACTCTACTCTGTACTCTGTACTATTAATATTATTTAATATACTTCGTTGCTTGTATAATATTTATTATATAAAAATTCAACTAATTTTAATCTTTACTTGGTGTCTAAAGTATCGTTAGACGGGTGTGTAATAATAAAATAAAAAATGGCCGATTATCAACAGCTGATTTCAGATTTCTAGCTTTCAAGCCATATCAATGACTAAAGAATCCAAGGACAAATAACACCCGAGAGCAAATTGTGACGATGTCACTAAACAGTGCCGTGGCACATATTTTTCTTAACCTAGCCTATGTTTGAAGAGATATTTATATTTTTTGATAAATGTTTTGACTACGCCTATGGTGTATACTATGGTATCATACTAATTAATTAAGAAAAAAACGTATTAAAATGTTAACAAAAGGTACAAAACTAGTATCGACGTATATCACACATCAAGTACATATACGCGTAATATCAGAAAAATAATTATCGAATTCAATAAGAAAACTAAAAAACGCCAAAAAGGTGGAGCTGCCTGTTTATTTACTTATGAAACGTAACTCCTGGCTCTTTCTTATCGCTGCTGCTTTTACACTTGAAAGCTTAACAACTAATCACCATTGTAATAAAGTTTATACAAAGTTCACTACACACAAACTATTAAAAATCGCTAAAATTGTCGCTGGTGACTATGGACGTTACATGTCCTTATATGTACGGCGTATATATGGACGTTACATGTCCTTATATTCTTTAGTCATTGAGCCAGATGGTAACAAGCTCGGTAATAAGGTTAAATTTTATTTGTCAATTTTGATTTTTGGGTGCGTTCAGATTAAACAAAAATGTATTTTCAAAAGTAGCTAATTGATAAAAAATATGTAATTAAATTAAAATGGCTGTATTATTATCATCATAAAATTCAAATAATACAAGAGCACCAAGAGTTAAAAAGTATCTTTATGATTGTCACGACATATTTGTATTATTAAACACTCGATTAAACGATTTAATTTAATTTGTATTGTCTGATTGGGCTGTCTGTCAAATCTTGCGATTCATTTTTGACACACTTCCCGTGAACCGATTTTAATGAAATTTGGCACAGTAATGTAAATCCGATGACAATACATTATTATGAAAAAAAAATGGGAATAGGGGGTGGTTAAGGGGTGTAAAGGGGGTAAATTCATAACTTTGGCACCAAAACAGATACAAACATGCGGTTTTCAGATTTTATGATTTTATCGGGGATTTTATGTTTTATGAACTCTTATGAAAAAAAAATCGGAAGTACAGGGGTGGGTGAGGGGTGTAAAGGGGGTAAATTCAGAATTTTGTAATGAAAACTGATACAAATATGCGGTGTTCAGATTTATGTTTTGATTTGATAACAAGAAATGTTTATAAAAAAACGGTGTAGGGGGTAGGTAAGGGGTGTAAAGGGGGTAAAAACTCATAACTTTGGAATAAAAATGATAAGACCTTGCAGTTTCAGATTCATGATTTTATGTGGTAAAAATACAATTTACTGAAAAAAAAGAGGGTGAGTGAGGGGTGTGAAAGGAGGAAATTCACAATTTTGGAACCAAATCAAATATGAATAGGCGGTATTCAGATTGATGATTTGATCTGGCGATAATACAATTTAACTTGCAATTTAATCAACGAAAATGAGTGTAGGTGGGTGAAGGGTGTAAAGGGGGTAAGTTCATAATTTTCTTATCAAAACAAATACAAACATGCAGTTTTAAGAAGTAAGGGGTGGAGAGGGTGTTTTTGATTAAGACCTCGATTAAGACTAAATTGTCCATTATCGAGTCAATTAGCTTAGACTCATATTATGCTGTGTACTATGACACGCAATGGTATCTAGGGCTAGTAATTAACTGCAAATCAGAAAAATTTAAAATTAAATTTTTACAACAGGACAAGGATATTTTTAAATGGCCCAAAAAAGACGATATACAAGAAGTTCATCGACGTTTCATTTTTCATGGACCTATCACATTATGGGGCTGTGATCGGTTTACTATAAAGAGAAACGATTTGGTTGCCATAAACAAAAAATACAAAGATTTTAAATGTTAATAATTTATCTATTTAGATACTATTTATCAGTTTCGTTCTTTTTTTAAATAGGTAATAATATTTTAGTTTTTTTTAGCCAATGTATTTTTAATGCCATGTTCCTATTGCAGTAGGTACCTGCCTCAATATTTTTAGTACAATGTTTTTTTTATTCTGTTTAACTTACAAGCCAAATATACCTCTATTATGTATGTTTTAGTTTTACTTAGTTAATGTATCTCGCATGTCATTCATAATGATTTTCTTAGTTTCAGTTCATCATATTTTGTTTCATTTTTTAGCATTAAATGTAGGTAGGTACAGTACGTCTGCTGGATCTGTGTCTATGAAAGGAATGCGGACAAAAAACATTTAAATAAACAACAATATATTTTATACATTGACTTGACGATACGTCACCGCAAATCGCTCCGCCCACTCATTTTATTGGCTACTTGCAAATTTGTCGAATTTTTATTGATGGGACGCGTCGTCTAATTTTTTACGAAAAACATAGAGAAAATATCGTTTCCCCTCTCACGGATACCCCGTAGCTACAGAACGGACAGACGTACTGTATGTGTATTTTAATTATTATAACTTGAAATTTATAATGAAATATAATGAAATCTCTAAGAAACCATGTTTATTATTATTAAGAAATATTTTTTAAAATTTCTGATGTTTTAAAATATTCATTTTTTTTGCTAGATGCGGCTAGTACATATTTTCCGATCACAATAAAACGAAAATAAACACTTAAACATTGTTTTCGTAATTAAATTGGCTGGGAATCAAGTGATTGCTTAGGAAATCAGCGAGGAAATCAGGTAATCAATCGGGAATCACATGGGAATCGTTAAAAAACTGGGAATCACTTGGGAATCGGATAAAAATACTTGGCAATTAGTGGAAATCAGTGGCAATACTTGGGAATACATGGGAATAACTGATGAGTGATTGCCAAATATGGAAATCATTGTACATTTTTTAACATGGTGGTTGACCCCTCGGATATGTCATTCTATTCAGAATGTCATTTTCCATCGAATAAAGTAAAGTAAAAATATACCGAGGGTGCCATTTAAAAATCAAAAGTTATAGCCATTTCCGGTAAAACGGGAAGTGACCAATACCAATTGAATACGTCAATCAATCCTTAATTTATGTCATATACTAACGAACCAAATCTCGTTTTTTAAGTAAAAAAATAAAGAAGTTATAGGGGTGAGCCACTTTTGAGACGCACCCGGTATACTAAAATATACCGTATGATCGAAAAAAAAACGACGTCAAAGGCGGCTGGGGAATGACAACCGATGGTAATTTTGGCTAAAAAGGTATCTTTGACGCGTTTTTTTTATCGTATATATATATATATATATATATATATATATAGCTAATATATATATATATATATATATATATATATATATATATATATATATATATATATATATATATATATATATATATATATATATATATTAAACGTTTTTTTTTGGATTCAATTGACCAACAACTTTCGATTTTCCTGGTATTATTTCTAGACGCCAAGTTTAAATTTCCCTGTACGTTTATTCTGTACATAAATTTGTAAAAGCATAAAATTGACGCATTTGTCGTTTTTTTATAATTTGACATTGACACATTTTGTCTGAAAACAATTTTTACGCTTCTCAAGCATAAACATAATATGTCCAGTAAAAGAGTATTAAAATTAAGAAGGAGATATCCGATATATGTCCTGTTAACTTGTACTTTCATCTTCCACATCGGTCTTCCGTTCTCTAAAAACTGGCTTTTTAAACTGGAAGAACACGAAAAAGTTCTAAAATACTATCCGACAACATCAAAAGAAACATTTGATCTACATAAGCGATAACAAACATCTTGTTACTTATTTTTTATACTTACAACTTTAGTATTAGGTGAAACAAATAGTTTTTATTGAAATGTAACATTATACTGTTTATATTTTAGGCTAATTCAGTTAAGGAAATTGGGAATCACAACACTGGACGAGGGCAGGATGTATTTAAAGTTACAAGAGATGCACGAAGAAAAGAAAAAGCAACTAAAATTATTCAGGAACAATCCTCAGTTCAACTGGAAGAATTCGAAAAACGCTAATATGGAAATTTTTCCGAAATTTTCGAAGAAAAGATCGTCCTTTGTTCCCCTGGACATTATAGGGATGCCAGGTTACGATGATTTGTCGGAAAAGGAAAGAGACATGTGCAGTACAGTGAGACTTGTTCCGGTTACCTATTTGGAGCTGAAGCAAATTTTGATTAGTGAAAATTCGAAAATGGGACATGTAAAATTACAGACGGCTAGGAGACTGTTAAAAATTGATGTTAATAAAACTAGAAAGCTATTTGACTTTTTGGTAACGGAGGGGTATATTTCTAAACCTGAATAATAAGGGTTTTGGTTTAATTAGGCTTTTTATTTTAAAAAAATTGTTAATTTTTGAGGTACATGTAAGTGTTGATTTAATGTGTTAATATCCTTTAAAATAAAATCTACTTTTTTGATGTAGGACTATTATAATTTTATTTTTTTAATTTTATAAAAAAAAATATTTTTGTAGATTGTACCTATATGGCATAAAAATGTTAAAATATTACTAATATTTTTTTAATTTATTATAACATTTTCAAGTTTGATATAAGTTAGTTAATGGTATACATCAATAACTTTGGCAATAATTGGAAAATGAGTAAATTAGATTGATTTTGATATTTGAATATTCTCAATATTGTTGAAGTAATAAACAGTATATGTATTAATTAACAATATATTTTTTGTATATACAGTATGTCCCCGGACTGTCTTTACAAGAGAAAAATCTTATTATGGACATATAGAGGAAAAGGCATTCTTCATAAAAAAAATTTGCTTGTTCTAAAGTGGATAATCCCGTTTATACTTTTTTTTTGATAGTTTGTTATTAAAAGAATTTTAATTAAAGTCATATTTTTTGCTGTTTTAAAATGTTAAAGAAGCACAAAATTTATTTAGTTCAATACTACGGAAAATGTGATAATATTTATCGGAAAATATGTAACAACAGCAAAGAATATGACATTAACCAAAATTAATAAAAACCATCTATCAAAGAATGAAATCAAATTGATATTAGTATATAGTGGAGTGCTTTAAGCCTTTATGGGATACAATCCTCGGAATTCATTTACTGTGAACGAATTTTTATAAAACTTTTTGCATTGTATTGTTAATAAGATATATTAATGAGGAAAATGCATGTTTTTAAATAATGGTTTTAAAAAATAGTTCATATAATTACAAATTGAACAAAAAAAATCGTTGATATCGGTTAAGAAATGCCTCTAATATAAAATAATTAAATATTGTTAATTTAAATGGCCGGGCAAACGCTCTCTACCGCGCCTTGCTGCTGTGACGTCACCCGCCGTTCTTCTGGTTGAGTGGAGCCAGACGCGTGTTTATTTTACACAGTTTACTTTTAAACGCTGTTGAATCCGAGTCAAAATTTTAGTTATTTGTGTTAATTAATACATAATTAGTAATTAGTGATATTTATAAATAGTAATGGATGAGCGAAAACAGAAAAAAATGGTCCAAGGCCATGAGAAGAGATGGAAAGAAAAACGTTAAATTATCCTCTATTTTTACGATTTATTTTTGTGAAGATCATTTTGATGTAAGTTCATATGTTTATAAACAAAAATACGAGTAGCGGAAAAAAGGGGCCAAAAAGTCATATATTTATGTATATTGTCTTACATAGGTATATGAAATTTGAATGTACAGGGTTATTCATTATATTTTGACACCCACATACAGCCTTAACTGCAAGTTTTTAGAAGAAAACATTAAATAAAAAACTTGCATGGTTTTCATATACTCTCTTTTAAAATTAATTCTAGTTATACAGGGTGCCTCAAAAAAGGTGGTTCAGAAAATTGTAGAAAAACGTTAAATTATCCTCTATTTTTACGATTTATTGTTGTGAAGATCATTTTGATGTAAGTTCATATGTTTATAAACAAAAATACGAGTAGCGGAAAAAAGGGGCCAAAAAGTCATATATTTATGTATATTGTCTTACATAGGTATATGAAATTTGAATGTACAGGGTTATTCATTATATTTTGACACCCACATACAGCCTTAACTGCAAGTTTTAGAAGAAAACATTAAATAAAAAACTTGCATGGTTTTTCATATACTCTCTTTTAAAATTAATTCTAGTTATACAGGGTGCCTCAAAAAAGGTGGTTCAGAAAATTGTAGAAAAACGTTAAATTATCCTCTATTTTTACGATTTATTGTTGTGAAGATCATTTTGATGTAAGTTCATATGTTTATAAACAAAAATACGAGTAGCGGAAAAAAGGGGCCAAAAAGTCATATATTTATGTATATTGTCTTACATAGGTATATGAAATTTTAATGTACAGGGTTATTCATTATATTTTGACACCCACATTACAGCCTTAACTGCAAGTTTTAGAAGAAAACATTAAATAAAAAACTTGCATGGTTTTTCATATACTCTCTTTTAAAATTAATTCTAGTTATACAGGGTGCCTCAAAAAAGGTGGTTCAGAAAATTGTAGGTATTTTTCGCTTTTCAACTGTCAATATTTCGTAAACATTTGAAGATAGATATAGGATATTATACATGAAATATATCTAGAATATCTAGAAATTTGCGAAGAATCCAAAAATATATAGGGTGTTTCACTTAAAAAAGTATCTTAATTTTGGCGTTTGCTTATGGGACACCTTGTATAATATTTTCATTACTGATAAACAATTTATTTCCTATAATTTCGTAAAAAAACAATCTTTAAAAATAACAGGGGTAAGGGGGTGTCAATTAATATATATATAAAAAACTTTCTTTTTATTATATATATATGCTCTGGAGTTATTTTTCCACGTACTAAACAAATATTTTTGTCTCTTTTCACTTCTACATAACCTACAGCATTATCTCCATACGTCTCCCTACCTGATCTGAAAAATAAGTTTATAACATTAATTCATAACTATATAATAGTTCGTAACAGTAGGTACCTACTTATACTTAAATATGCCTCAGTACTACAAAGAATAAATGTTACCTCTCTGTTTTTTTTAATACCTCTCTGTTTTTTTCCTCGTAATTCAGCACCAATAAATTGGGAATTTGTATTTATAAAAGCAGCCAACATAAAAGCATCGACTTTTGAAAGTTATCTGATTGTGCTTTTACAAACCCGGAATCTGCCATTACTTAAAAAATTTTCAGAACACACAACACATACAAATAATAACTGCACAAAAAAGCATAAAAAGCACCTTCAATCAACGCTACAAGCAACACAAATGTCTTAGTACGCCACCTAAATAAGTACATAAACGGAACACGTCTGGCTGCTGCTGGCCATCGCGCGTCGACGAGAACGGCGGGTGACGTCAGACCAATAGAATATCGTTTCAATTCGCGAGGCGTCGTTTGCGTTATCCATAGTATTTTAATGGCCCGTTTTATAAAATTGTGGTATTGCTTTCAAGAAAAAAGTTTTTTTTGCATTTATACATATTTATTCTAATAAATTGAACAGTTTCTGGCGAAAAATAAAATATATGCATCTTCCTCATTCGTTGCTTTCACTTTTTTTTTACAAATGCATACATACAAGATGGCTCCGTATTCCGGAAAAGCTCTTTATCAGGATTCCTATTTGAGATTTTCACTCCAAACCTTTTACAAAATATGTGTTAAATGGTAGTTCACATTTTAAAAATATTTTTATAGATATACAGGGTGAGTCAAATATATATCTATATTTGTTTAGATCAGTGAATTTGCTATAAAATTCCGGTTCCAAAAATACCTTAATACCATAGAGTATACTAAGTGGTGAATTATGACCACGTCCATGAGGACGTCAATCTAGACGATCTAGACCAGGAAGGAAATTGTAAGTTTATTGCTAAGAAACCGCCGTTTGCCAGCTTTTCAAATTGATAATGAATTGCACTTAAGAAACGTACATATTAACTAACGGACTATAAAAAGACGATTAAATGAAGTAAATATTATGTCCAGAACGCTTTAGAATTTAGAATTTAGAATGAGTGGGAGGGGGGTTAATCACTTCGACCTTACAGATCCATTGTGTCCCCCTTTCTTGAATCATAACTCATCATACAGTCCCAGGGCTTTGACAAAAGCCAGTATCTGGGACGGTTTTATAGAGGGTAGTTCTCCATCTCAATATCAGTTGTACCAAAATTCATGGCACGAATGGTTGTCGTCTCGGCGCACTCAGTGATGAGGTGTACTGGTGTTTCACCATCTTCCCCACAGAATCTGCATTCGCCGTTTCTTCTTAGTTTCAATCTACTGAGGTGTTCATTGAGAGACAGTGTCCTGTTAAAAACCCCGTGACAATCCGAAGATTGTTCTTACTCAGACCCAGGAAGATCTGTGATTTTTCTTGATCATAAGCTCTCAGAAACTTCTTCGAGTGTCCTAGACCATTGCAAGATTTCCATTCAGGTTGCGGATGGAATCTTCCAAGTTCTTGAGTTCCGCCTTGAGTTGGTTACCACTGGAAAGCAGAACGGTTCTGGTCCAGTTAGTGGAGTGTTCGCTCCTTTCCTAGCTAGATTATTTGCTTTTTCATTGCCTTCTATCCCTTGGTGAGCAGGCACCCAGTGTAGGAGGACTTTGTTTTCTTTGCCTAATTTATTCAGCTTCTCTATGCATTCTTTGACCAATTTCAAATCGATTGATACTGAGTTGATCGCCTTTAACGCTGCTTGACTATCAGATAAGATGGCTATTTCTTGTTTCCGATAGTTCCTATCTAAGATAAGTTGTACGCATCTCTCGATAGCGTAGATTTCTGCCTGTAGGATACTAGGGTAAGTGCCCATTGGTTCGGAGTAATTAGCTCTCGGCGCAAACACTCCGATCCCTGTTCCCGTATTGGTTTTGGAAGCATCAGTATACCAAGTTATGGTATGGTCTTTTAACTGCTGGGCAAGCGTTTCGCTCTTCCAATCCTTCTTATTGCTCAATACTACATTGACATGTTTGTCAAAGTTGTACGTTCTTGGCATATCGTCCACTGGGAGTTTCAGGAGTGGTATTTCCTTTTTGAGGGTGTTCCAAGCCCCTGATCTGACAATTCTCCCAGTTCTAATTCCGTTAGTGACCATTCTAATCATTGTCGCATGGGCATCTCTACCAATGACAATGTGCAGTGGTGTTAGATCTAGAATGACCTCCATTGCTGCTGTTGGACAGGTTTTCATGGCTCCTGTGATACAAACGCATGCTAGTCTCTGGACTTTGCACAAGTTTAGCCTTGCCGTCCGTTGCTCTAGTTTTGTGAACCAGGCAACTGCTCCATAAGTAATCATGGGTCTTACTATCATGGTATACATCCAGCGCAAAGTGTTAGGGGAGCAGCCCCATCTATTTCCGGCCAGTCTTCTGCATATCATGAGAGCCTTTATGGCTTTGCTGGTAGTGTTCTTAATATGCCTGTTCCACAGGAGTTTACTGTCCAGGGTTATTCCCAGATATTTAACTTCCTGTGTTGGCAGTATTACCTTTCCATCTAGTTGAATTCTTTTCAAGTTTTTCAGACTTCGCTTTCTGGTGAATGGCACTATCGCGGTTTTGTCTGAGTTGATACTCAGCACGACAGTCCTACACCATCTCTCAGTGATACGGAGTCGTCTTTGGATAATATTACACAGGGTGCCTTTTCCCCCGAGCGATGATGACTATGTCATCTGCATACCCAATGCAGTGTATTCC